TTTTTTGTTTTCTAACAATTTTTTTTTTTTATTTTTTATGAATGTTTTTTTTTTTTTTGTGTTTGTGCTGCTCTGATTTTGCACGTGTCATCAACTTTTTTTTATGTCGAGCTTGTGCTTTATTCGAACAACATTTTTTTTGTAACTTTTCTCCTAACGAACCTCTCTTTCCTCCGATAACCTCTCTAAAAACTTTTCGATGTGAATTCAAAACTTCTCAACTTTTTATTTTTCAATTTTGTGTGACTTTTATGATAAAAGTTTGAGCTCGTGTTTTTTATACTGTACTTTGAAATCTTAAACTATTAACAGTAAATGAAAATCAATAAATAAACGAATAAATATTTGATTGTTCGAAATTAATAAGCACACAAACTTTTGTAATAGGCAGTGCTTGAATATGAATTCTATTCTGCTCAGCACAGGGTATTTGAACGCCGAGCAAATGCCATTAGCTTGCCCACATTGTTGCTGTGTTTGTTCGTGTGTGGGTGGGGTGTTGTGTGAGTGTTTGTTTGCATGACGCTTTGCATTTGAAGTGTACGCAAAGTTTTGTTGTGCATTTGCCACGCTTCTATTTTAAGGAGCGTTTCATGTGGCTTTCCCGTGCTGCATGCATGTATGTGTGTATGAGTTTGTGTGTTAAAGCCTTTATGCGTGTATGCGTGTGTGTGTGCGTGTGGTTGTGCAGTGTGTTATGTCATTTTTACAACCAGGTCCGGAGTCACCCACCTGCTGCTGCCATGGTAATTTTGTGTACGCTTTAGTTGCATTGCGCTGCGCTGAGTTGGACTACGTTGCGTATACGTCATGTATTCGCCGTAACACAAACAAGCTTTCTTTTTTAAACGCTCTGTTGATTCGCGCTCTCAACTGGCAGTCAGGGTCAGCTGCAGCTGCAGGTGCCATGGATCCGTCTATCTTTTTGGCCCGTGTGCAATTTGCATGGCAGTGCGCTTTTCGTGGTTTTCATTCTATGCAAACAGCAAACAAATCAACTTATTTGCCAACAACTTTTTTTTTTTTTTTTTGTTTTTTGCTAGCTGCATGTGGTCCAGTTCTGTGCTCAGTACTCTTTTTCGGGTGTTTTGGTTAGCTCTTTGCTGGTTAGTTTGGGTTCATGTGAACTCTCTGATTGAGTGCAGTGCGTCCCAGAGCCGAGGAGCGGTCAGCTCAAAAGTTGATTATAAAATGGCAAACGGATTACAACGAGCACGAAATGCAAAGAGCTGAAAGATATTCACTTCAAGTAAAATTCAATTACGTTTTCCATTTTGCGCTTTGCAAAGCCAAATATCTGCCCAGCACGATTACCATGCGAACTCCATTTAATATTATATATATTCAATAAAACGTAAATTGTTTCTATTTAAAGTGCTTAAATACCATTTTTCTTGTTTTAAAGGAATTTTGCTTAATTGAAATTATTTTCGGATACTTTTTTGGGGCGCTTGATAAAAGTTCTGGGCAAACCCCAAGTCAATTAAAAAGTTAAATTAAAATTATCAGCAATGTATGTTCATAATCATCTTCATCATCATCATCATTATTATTATTATCATCATTATCGCCATCGGGCTGCACCTTCCCATCGTAAGCCTATCATAATCAAACTCTTGTGAATTTCTGGCTGGTATGTCAGAGTTTCCAAACTGTTGTGGAGCGCAATATTTTAAACGTCATATTTTACTGGGCAATTTTAATTAAATTTGCATGCATGTTTTTGAATTGATGGCCTCCGGCTTATGGTTACAAAAAGTTCATTTTTAATTAGAATTGGCAAATTCAATAACTAATATTGCTTCAAATTGCTTTTATAATATGCACTTGACGGTGGCGGCCAGAACATGTAAATGGCATATTGATTTAATTTTATTACAATTTCACATTATTTAGCTAATTTTCATTTACAGACAGTTTTATAGAAATGCCACAAATGTATGCTTATATAAATTCTCTACTGGTTAAACTTGGGGATAATTGTGCCTTATTAAGATACATAACATATGTACTGAAAATATTTTTAAGCGTTTGCATTCTTAAAAGTAAAAGTGTAAAAGATAGTTAGGTTATTAATATATTGAATAACAATAATAATTTGAAGAATTGTGCTGGTTCTTCTAGACGAACAACTTACCCTTTGCTAATTCTAAATGATGTCAGAGATGTGGAAGTTCTTCCCGATGAAAAATGTGATATAAATTCATTCAATTCTGTCGCAAGTCAAGTTTTTACACAAACACTTAACATTTGCTGCCAATGTAAAGACAATCATCTTAACAATCGATTATCTGGGCAATAGTTTTTCTTCATTTCTTTGCTCAGTGGCTGCTGCATCCATAGATTTATCAACAGCATAGCAAACATTTAAGCATCAACGCCATGGCTTGAACATGGAGCTGGACTTAACTTTACCAATTCATGTCCAGCCACATAAAGATACATTGACGAGACGAGGCGAGAGCTTTGTGAATCAAATCTTTAAAGTTGCGCCAGCTGGGCGCTTATCGATGCTGCTGCAGGCGCTCGTCCGTTTCCTTTTCGCTTTCCACTTGTTTAAAGGGACACTCTTCCTGCCAACCCCCCCCACCCCTTCCCATTCGTTGCTCCGGGACTGAGCAATAAAGTTTAACGCATTTTTTGCTTCATGCACTTTGCTTCATCATCAATTTTTATTGAAATTGACACTATCTGGACGACAAAGTAGGCGTGGTGGGGGCTGGCCGACAGGGGCAGTGGGTGTGTGTCCCGCGAAATGAATCACTGTAAAATTTTATCAGGGACACTTTTAATGAACAGCAACTCGAGTAGATAAAAAAGTGAGAGCTGCTTCTGCTGCTGCCTGCTGCAGCAGGCCTGCAGGGCGAGAGCTTATAAACTTGCTAATTGGATTAGATTTTGCGATATAAAGTATATTCATTAAGCACTGTTTTCTTCGCTTCATATATATTTTTTATTTTTTGTTATATGCTTTGCGCGGCAGCTGAGCAAAAATTTGTATTAAAAATTTATTGCCAACTTTTTGCCTCCACCTTTTCGCACTGGCACTCAGCTTTTGTCCCGTTCGCACCCAACTGCTGCAACTTCTGCTAATAAGCAAAGAGAGTTCACAAAGACATAAAACAAAAGCAAAACGAACAGTTAATAAAAGACAGGCAAAATAGACGTAATAACAACAACAGCGACAACTGGCAAACAGCTGCGACTCTTTGCTGGTGTGAGCGCTCGTGTGTGTGTGTGTGTGTGTGTGTGTGTGTGTGTGTGGGTTTGTGAGATCTGTAAGAGCATTTGTATGAGTAAAGATGAAAAGATACTCAACTGGTTTTGCTAGCCAATAAAGAACAACAACAATAGCGACGACAAGTTACGAAGCCAAGCGAAATGAAAACAAAAGTCAACCGCGCGCAACAAAAGCGTTAAAAGAGAACCGCAACAACAACAGTTACAAAGACAAACCAGATATTGTAAATGGAAAGAGATAGCAGCATAAAATGAAAGCACACATTCAAATGCATAAATTGAGCCACTAAGCCAACTCAAAATTGAGTGAAAAATTGTTCGTGTAGCGCTAATGAAATCGAAAGTGGGTGCATTTATTACGTATTGCTTGCCAATAAATATTAAATATTGCGAATGGGGCAATGGGAGAATAAAAAAATAAATAAGTACAAATGAGATTCCCCTCAAATTTTCAACCGGGCAAAAGAAAAATCATGCTTAGCAATAAGTAATGCATAGTAAATCAAAGTATCAAAAGGAGAAAGTATGAGAATTCTGGAGCACAAAGCAAATGACTAAATAAGCCATAAATATTGCATGAAGGTGAACACAAAAAAAGGTTTTAGTATTTCACAAGTAAATTGGAGCCTGTATTCCAAACATAAGAAAAAATTTTTTAGGAAGAAAGTGCGAAAGCTAACGCTCAAAGAAAAAGATTGGACAATTAAGCAATAATTATTGCAAGATAGGGGCTAAATTGTGTACTCTAAGAGAAAAATACTTTGTTTACTTTGTGCGAAGTATCTTGCTAAGAGAACATTAATTGGACTTTATTTATATATTTCGCATCAGATTTACAGTTTTAATACGTATTATCTTTATGTAGTACTTGCTTTTTATTTCTGTATTTATGTACAAACTCTTATCTGTCCACCTTGTTAAGAAAGTTCATTATCTATGCAGCTTCAGTAAATTGACAACCAAAAGATTCAGATTTACCCCTAAGAAGACCCCAAGAAGGCGTCCCATCTTATGTGTTTTACGACTGATTTTTAGTACTCATCGTAATGTCAGTCATTATTGTGGCCCTCTTTAATGACTGTCCCATGGCTCATTCATTTTGGCAAAACAAATTTTCAGTAAATTTCATGCTAATGGATGAGCCCGGAGGCAACACAATGGGCTAAACAGTCGGGCCCAATTAATGGGGTAAGGCAAGAAAAGTAATTGTAAGCTTTTAATGGATAATGAAATCTGCAAGTTGTTTAATAAATAAATGACTTTTGAGATGAAATGCTTGAAAACTACATTAAGAGCTTTGAGGGTAGTTTTTTAAGCTTTCACTCATTGACGTTAAGTACTATTTGAAGCTTAGTTGTAGTAAAGATGAAATTTAAGTTTAATCTAAAAGCCGATTGGTTTTAAGTAATAAATGCGAAAAACGTGAACAAAAATTTGCGTTTATAGGTTCTTCACGAAAAGCTTTAATTAATAGACGATGAAAGTATAAATGCCTATAAAAGCTTTATTAAAAATAAAATTCAGAATTATTTAAGGTACACAGTTTTCTTTTTCTTAAGTTAGCCAGCCGTTTTTTATTTACTTAGTTAAGGGTAAAGCCCTCAATATTAAGAATAAATGTTTTAAATACCAGTAAAAGCATAAAGTACAGCTTTGTAATATTAAGCATAGTAAGTTCTTTCCCAATACTAAACTTTAGTTAGTTGCTATTCGCGTGAAATGAAATAACTTTATCTCTATTTCTTACTCTCGTTCTGCAGCTGGCATGCATAATGGAAACGCGTGTAACAATCATGTAAAACTGCATTCGAGGGCAATGGATGGAAATGGAGCGTGCGGCAAGGAACAGCACATCAAATTGGTATTAGAGGTTAACAACTGAATCTTGGGCGTATGGGCGTGGTCAAGTTGTAACCCAACAACATAGCATAGCCAACACTGGTTACATCGTGGCGCTGCCTGTGAAGCATAAAAGTCAATTAATGTACAATTGCAACAACAATTACAACAATTGCCAGTGAATCCAGCGAACGTGGCGACAGCGAACAGAAGCCAGCCAGAGGCAGGCAACCAACACTCAACACCCATCAGCCATCAGCCCCGCTCGCCACGTCGGATGAGCAGCGGAAACGGCCGGCAAGAAAAATTTGTGCAAATTACACGCAGCGTGAGGCTGCGTTCCAGGTTGTGCTTGGAGTGGGTGCGGTCGAGGGACTCGAGTGTGGAGCCAGCCACAAGGCCAGCCCAATACCGAAACGAACGTCCGGTGGCGGCCACAAAATGACTTTCGTTAACAAGCTGAGCAAAAGCTTCCGCTGGCTGCGCTGCTCGACATTGTGCGCCATTTTGTTTTATATGTTTTTCATTGGCCTCATATTGCACAGCACCAGCCAGAAGCTGCAGCAGCACCAGCAGCATCAGCAGCAGCAGCGGGAACAACACAGCTCTGTAGAACAGAGCCAGGCCCAAGCTGAGGCTCAGTCGAAGTCAATGCCCAATGAGCGCCCGAATGGCCGCGACCAGCAGCAACCTAAGGAGCTGCAGCATCAACAACAACAACAACAGCAAGAAGTGGAGCATAAGCAAAGGGCGAAGTCGCAGTCACAGTCGCAATCGCAGTCACAGCTAACGAGGAACAATTTAGTTTTGGGTAATGCCCAGGCGAAAGAGCAGCAGCAACAAGGAAAAGTGCAGCCGATAGCTGCTAATAGAGGAGGAGGTGGAGGAGGAGGAGGAGGAGGAGGAGGAGGAGGAGGAGGAGGAGGAGGAGGCGGCGGTGGGAGTGGAAGCGTAACTAGCAAATCAGCCCAGCCGCAGCCCGAAACAGTTATATTAACGGCCAGCAATGTGAACGAGAAGCAAATACTTGCAAAAGCTTTCAAGCGGTAAGTTACGCCTTTGTCCTTTGCCCAGTGGGCGTTCACCCACACCCCCTACATCCCCTATCCCCTATCCCCTACCCAGCGACGGTTTCGCTGGTTGTTTGGCTGATAATTTGGTGCTAGTTTGGCGGCTCCTTCATTGTTCACGCACAACGTTGTGCTGTTGCCCGTGGCTATTGTTCACGCTGCGCGGATGTCAGGCGACGTGGGAGTTAAATAGATAGAGTAGAAAAGAGTGGGGTGATAACGGAGGAGAATGAGAGACAGGGCGGCCACAAATGGGGGCCATCACAGTGCGTGCCTGAATTGTGTGTACGACAAATTGTGAAATTTATGGCAACAAGCGAGTGAGCCATGGGTTAGCAGCAGCAGCAGCAGCAGCAGCAGCAGCAGCAGCACTTGATGAATGCTTTGTCCAGGGCTGGGGAATAAAGGTGCTTTTGGGTTCCCCAAATGCGATTTGTTATTTTGAATGATTTTGATTGGATGCCGGATAATCGGATTACAGCCTGTGTTAGGGACAGGCGGGCAAAGAGAGGCAATCATAATTATTGATTAGAGCAAAATCTGTGCAGGACGTGCTGACAGTGTCAAATTGTTCAAAATATAAAAATTTGAAAACGTGAACTTTAAGGCGAAATGCACTGCATTTTCTCTATTTTTTTATATGTACATTCTGCACACAGAAATCCTTAAAGTTTGCTTGTGCAATCAGTGAAATGCTACGCTAGCATATATCTGAGTAACTGCATTTCTCTATATACCACTGCTACTAGGAGCTAATTTATAGCTAGATGAACCACAAGAATTATGAAGGCAGTTAATAACAAGCGATTTTGCCAACATGGCGTATGATTAACGATGTTTTAGGTTAGATGTTGCAGCGCTTGCGATTAAACTAGTGTGAACATATATAGTTTATTTCTCTCTGAAACGAAACATTTTATTATTATAGCAGACAGTATTTTATGAGATATGTATGGGTATATTAAAAATAATAATAACTTTAATAGACTATCATTGGCAGCTCTATTCTATTAGATTGTTTCTATCTATCTGACGATACCAAAAAGAGAAAGAGGACGCAAAAAAAAGTACAATAAATAAAAATTAAAATAATTAAATAATAATACACACAAATTTTCAATAATTATAATAACGATATAAATCAAAATATAATAATAATAATAAACACTAATAATAATATAAATGTACAAAAATACAATTAATAATAATAAAACGGTAATAAGATACAAACGAATACAATAAAGTAAAAAGTGCAAATTATTATTGAAAATAAAATTGTTTTATAATAAACAAATCCTAATGATAATAATATTTATATATTTACACAATAAATAAATATATAATAATAATTATATAAATCAGTGTGGCTCCGAAACTCAATATACATATTTTTTTTTGTATACAGAGCAGCCGTAGTCAAAGTCTACACATTCCAAAGTTTGATGGATAACATAATGAAATTTTAATTTTATCCGGTCCGTTTAACCCGCTTTTGCAGACCCAATTAAAGCGTCTGCGTGGAAAGGGCCTGCCTACAATTTGAATTATATTTTTTAAACTTTTTAATATTGGTTTTGTTGATATTCGACCTTTAGTCAATTTAGCAAAGCTTTTTTGCTAAAAATAGCCCATAAACTCCACCTACAGCATCAAATCTGAAAACATAAGAACAACTTTATCACAACTTGATGAATGGGAGAAAATATAGCCAAACAGCGTTTGGGCAACGAGGCGTATGAGTAGCAGCACCTTCAACTTTTATATTTCATTTTTTATGGTTTAATATTGCCGTTTGAAGGATTCCCATTTCGCTTAACAGAAAAATTCACCAACATAAAATTTAATTTTCATTGAGCTAAAGTTCTGCAAAAATTTAATCCTTTTATTGCGGCCATTTGGTATAGAAATTGTACACATATATTAGAAAGTTTATATCTATGGGCTATGCAGCGACAACTAGAGGAGCAAGCGCAAATAAAACTGGCAAACAAACTTTATGTCGATTGTTGTTGTTGCTTTTCTATGGTAATATATTATATTCAATGGAAGCCTTTTATTTAAGCGCATTACAATTGTTGAAAGCTTTTTGATACCATTTAATAATCAGATTGATTTAATTGACAACAATCAAACTTAATTGCTTAAGAGCTACTCGCAGAAATATGCTGCAAATTTCATAAAATTGCAATTTTTCATTTTTTTTTAACACAGTAACAACAACTCAGAGCAGCTGCCCAGTTTTGTGGGCGTGCCAGAGGCCTCCCATGCGTACTATGTGTATTGTATATTTAATCCTCCATCAATTATTAATATGGGCAATATGCAAACACACCACAAATGGCAGCTGGGCCACGCCTCATTTTCATGTTGCTGTCGTCATTTAATCGGATTGAACTATCATTAATTTTGATTAGGTTAATGCCATGCTTATGCACATCCTGGTGGAATTGTCACCAAGGGCGTGCAATATAAATGCCATATTGTTGGCCTTATTGAGAGCAGCTGCAATCAGATTCATAGCCATGGCAACAGCAATGCGAAAATTCTATTTTAATATTCATTGAATAGAAATAAGCTTTTATCAAAAATATTTTCGCAGTTTCCACATTTTATTTGTGTCTTCTCTTTCTACATTTGGGCTAGGGGCAAAAGTTGTTCGTAAAAGTGAGAAAATAAATTTGAGTTTGCGAGCCAGCTTAGATATCGCAGCTGTCGGTAAACTTTATCTTTACTCGATTTTGATTGCTGTCTCCAACTAAGCAATTCGCAAATTACTTGCCGCACTTTAAGTTGCTCAAATGCCCGAAATTTCTGGCATTTATTCGCTCGATTGCACAGCAGCTTACAAATTGCAACTGAAGTCGCACGATTTTAACTATTGGGCACAAATATATATATACTTATATATATCATTATATATGGCGACTAATTAGTAAGTAAAATTAATAACAATTACTTCTCATGACGATTACCGCTGCCCACTGGGCTACAATTATGTGTAGTCAGGCAAATAGCAGGCGCTCCCTTGATAATAGTCTTTAAATAAAGCTCTGCTGCGGCAAAAATTAATTGAAGAGGCTTCTGCTTAATGATGCCCCATGATAAAGAATTTCTCATATATTCTGTTGTTATTATAGTAATTCAAACGATTTGCTTTTTGTTTGGTTGTTTTTTTAGATTGAACTTTAAATTTGCTCAAAATATTTTGGAAAACAAAATAATTTTCTATTCTGTGGAAATGTTCCTTTAGTGATTGTTATTTTCGCATTTTCAACATTTTAATATTTAACATTTGATGTGACATGCAGCCTAAGGAACATTTATGTTCTTTAACAGCCTGCGTAAATTTTGTTATTACAAAAAATATTCTATTCTCACAGCGAACAAAATGTATTGTATGCAATTAATTGTAATATCATGTTTTCGAATGTAAGAAAATTCTCTAGAATATCCTCTAAATAATTGGTTTCCCATTTCATTCCTTATTGAGCTCCATTTGCTGCAAATACTTCTGTAAATTTCATAAACTTAAGTACTTAACGCTTGGTATAAAATGTCTTCGGGCAAATTATATTTACGTTCCCCAGCACATTGCGATTATCCTCTAAGAAAAGTGTCGGGGTGTTAGAATGTCTGAATAACAAAGGTCCTCCCTTAAGCTGTGTGCTGTTGGTTGGGGTGTCTTCTTTTTGCTGGGAATGTGGAGAATGTGATTGCCCAAACAGGTGTCAGTTATTAAAGCACTCAAAGGGGGGCGGTGCGAGTCAGGATTGTGCCCACACTAGAATCTAACTAACCGGTGAAACAATCAGCAAATGGCTGCCATGGGACTGTCAATGCGTATCTGAGGGATTATTTTGTTTGTTGTAGTGTTGGGTTTGTGTTTGTATTTGTGTTGTAGGCGCCTGGGGAAGCAAATTTGGAGGCGGATGCGAATGCGAATGCGAATGCGGTGGCTGCACCGCACAGTGGTTTCATTAGCATATAGTTGAGGCATTAGAAACTAAAATAAATAAACCGGAAAGTAAAGCGATTTCAAGTTAGTTTCCTTCCGCAAAACTTTTGTTATTCACCCTGCCAACCCGGAGCCCTCTTGCCAGTTCGTAATGTGTGTGCATTGCGGTCTGTGGCAGCTTGGAGTTTGAGTTACGGTGACCCAGGGGGTCCGGACGGTACAAATCCTTTAGAAACAAAAAACAAACAAAACAAGAACGCAGAAAAAACGAAACGTTTTTGCTTTTGCGCCCTTTCGCATTTTCGCATCTACGCATACTTTGGCATAAAAGTTTTTCATTTGAACTGCGTTTTTTACATTTTTGCATTTCTTTTACTGTCTCCATAAAATGACTAACAAGGGCTATGTCTGTCACAAGAGAAGAGTCAGTAGAGACAATAAAGAGTATAGATGTTCTTCAACATGTTCGTCTTTTGTCATTATTAGCCTATTGATTTCATACAATTTTAATGAAATTTCCAACGGCTTTATTTCTTATCTTCTGGCTCAAGTATCGAAAAAACAAACAATTTTCTATCATAATTACGTGCAGGGTATTGCTTAGTCGTACATTTTGGTAAGTTGGGTGCCCTTCTGACGAGCAGCAAGACATGGGATTAGTTACTCGGCGAAAATGCATTTTGCATAAGCCTGCGGATTTTTTCCTTGCCAATTGCCAGTGTTGGATAGTTTTTATGAAACATCAAGGATTTAGCGAAACGAGATCTTTGGCTCGTGTTCGCTTAGAATCGGATTGTGTTAATGTTGTGTTTGCATGAAATTCTTTGACAATAAAATCAACTTGAAACCGACTGAAAATTAAAGAAATTTAAGTCGCTTAAATACTTAAATAGTTGCTTTAACTTGCCAAACTAGTCAGTATTTGTGAGTCTGTCCTTGAATACCAAGCAAAATAATATCTACTGCACTTTCATTTGTGATTAAATCTTCTTGGGTAGTAAAACGTTTAAGGATGTTGCATAAGAAGGAAGTGGAAAATTACGTTAATAAGGCGAATAGGAAATAATAGTGGAAAAGAAAAGGGTATAGATAGAGAGGGAGGGCGATAGAAAGAGGGCAGATAGAAGAGCGCAAAAAAGAAACACATGAGGGAGTAAATGAAAACGCGAGTGGATCTAAAATACCACTTAACAGTTTTAAAAGCGAAGCGCCGCAAACTAGGCAATGCATTTTTGTTAAGGAAGGTAATAATGTATATGTATGAAGCATAAACTTGATTTAGTTACGCTTTGCTCGTAGGTAAGAACTTAACCATATATTTCAATTGTTTTCAATCCATTAAGTAATATTTTCATTGATAGTTATCTTATTATTACTATCCTTTACCATTAATGGGTATGTAAAATACAAAGAAATATACATTTCCGGAAACTAGCACTCTTTCTCCTGGTGGAACCAAAAGAGATGTGTTGCGCGCGAGTCTAAATCGTGAATAATAAGCGACAGAGTCCCATGAGGTCTTACGTCCATTTTGCTAATAGTGCCGGTCGAACGTCAGCCTCCTTTTTTTTGGAACTTAGCCAAACCAAAATTATCTTTAGAGATCTTGCCAATAACTTTATGTTGTTTGGGCCGGTGCAGTAACAAGAAAGGGTCACGTCAATAGCAGTGCAACGATCTTGTGCGATTCAATTGTTACAATCTCTTGCTAGTATTATGGCACCATTCAACCTGTTTCTCTTTGCCTATCCCACCTAAGACCAGAGCCAACAAAGCCAAGTTATACTTCCAAAATTTTCGCGAGTACCAAAAGACATCTTCGCCGCCAAGGATATAGTTACCACCCGCTGTTTTCAAAGTTATGAGGCCTGTGCTTCGTTTGCAAGTTATTTAGCCGTATAAGTTTTCCATTCTGTTAAACTTGCGAATGCGAGTGAAGTTTTGCTGCATGTTGCATTCAACTTCCGCAGCAAGTTTGTGGCATTCTCGGGTGGACGGGCGCGCGGTTCTTTTGCTCAGTGCTAAATCAATGCACAGGCATGGCATGTCCTTGCAAAAGGGGAATGACAGCAGTGGCCTAATTGGAATGCTCGAGCGGGACATTAACGAGCCGCGTGCGTTGATAACAGCGACCCGATGTGGATGACCAAATTGTCGGCGACAAAAGACCAAAGGAGTCGCACAATTAAAATTTATAACAATGGCCCGCGCGTCGACTGATGTTGTGGCAGTTGCAGCTACAATTTAATTGCCCCCCAAATGGCACTCGCCATTTGCAGGGCTCAATTCTCATAATAATGTATTAACATTAAATTTAAATGCAGAAGCCACAAATGATGGCTATTAATTTCATGCACGTAATTATCACAACATTTTTCGGTCAGTTTAATTGGAGTTTAATGTTATGGTGGCAAGCGCTTTCATAAATCTGTTTTATATTATCCTTTCACCATGCTCTATTTGACTTCAGATAAATTAGTTTTGACTACTTGCATTAGGGCATGCCAGTCGGTAGAATCTTTTGACATGTGGGTCTCATGCGGTTTGCTCTTGTGGTTTTCTTGACTATATAGAGAATATATTTCCCGAAATAAGCATAGGACTATAGATAAGACGACAAGGCTATGCTCTCAATGCATCATATACATTATCTGTCAACATGATAATACCCTCAGCTTGACTTACTATAATGGAAAATGTTGCTTTGATTGGTCTGTTTTCAGAGCCGATCGTAATCATGATGGGCACCTGTCCATACAGGAGCTGGGACAGTATATAAATAAGCGGATTGTCGAGCATATAGACATTGCCATTATGAATAATGCTAGGGAATTTCGGCGCGTAGACATTGCACCTGCCGATGGGCTAATCACCTGGGATGAATATCATCGTTTCTTTTTGCGCGAACATGGCATGACGGATGCTGACATTGATGAGCACGATGAGATCAGGCACACCTCGCTGAATCGCAAGGCGCGCGAGGATATGATGCGAGATAAGGCACGCTGGACGGAGGCGGCACGAACGGATTTATTTACATTGACAATTGATGAGTATTTGAGCTTCAGGCATCCGGAATCGAGTGTATCCAATTTGCTGGAACTGGTGGATGATCTGTTGCGTCAGTTCGATCAGGACGGCGACGATCAGCTCACGCTGGAGGAGTTCTCCGAACTGAATGTGGATGACGATGAGGACTTGCTGCGCAAGTCCCTTATATCCAAAACCCTAGTAGAGCGTCGCGAGGAGTTCAAGCGCATTATCGATAAGAATCACGATGGCAAAGCCGATCGTGGTGAGCTCCTGAACTATGTCAATCCGAAGACACCGCGCTATGCACTCCAGGAGGCGGCTACGTTGTTCAGCTTATGCGATGAGAACAAGGACGAATTGCTAACACTTAAGGAGGTAAGTGCGCCAAAGGCCCTACAGGGGGGTTTCTCTAATCACAATAACATTTTGATTTCTGTACAGATGACTGACAATGCTGAGATATTTTTGCAATCAAAGATGATCGATACGGCTAACAGTTTTCATACCGAATTTTAATTACACTTTCCTTATGGCACATTCACTTTGTTCAAACCGTCCCCCAGTTCAATCTCACACAATCCCAGCTCACAACGTTTGTCTAAAATAACAATTATATAATCTTTGTGCATTTATAGTGATATTAATTTGTAAGTTGTTTAACATTGTAATTGAAGATATAATACACGCATTGCTATACCTACATATATACATACATCTATATATATAAATATAAATATAAAGATAGAATTAATTTTGTTAGAAGTTTATACTACGTAACCCTTAAGAGCAAGAGGCAATTCATTTAAAGTGTGATTTTAAATAAAAGTTTTACTTAAGAATGCAAAGCAAATTAAAGAAGAATACTCCAAAATACACAAAAAAAAAAAATATACGTAATTTTGTGGAATTTTGTGTTTTCTTTACGAAATTTAGGAATCATAATAATCTTATTATAAAATACAATTTTCACAGATGTGGTAACATTTTTCTAAATAAATACATTTTTCTTTTCAATGCGTAAACTTATGTGCAAATCAAATTTTATCTTCAAAAATTACCAAAATCTGCGATTGGGCTCATAATCTGATATTACTCGATTTAGAGAGTTGGTTTCGATAATAGGTATACAAGCATAGAAATCAATTCGAGCTTATAAGTTTTCTATTCTCTTAAATCTAAATGCACAATCTCAAAGAGTAGAATCGACAATATATTTATTGATTTCGGTAAAGTGTTCGGAATTACCCATAATCTTAAAGTATCTTGAAGTTTAAGTTAAAGATTTTGTTATAGATAAAAGTCTCACACTTTGCCAGTTCTATAATTTATTATACATTTAAAGATTTTCAGATAATCTGAAATTTAATCAGACTTTACTAATAAAGTCTTTTTGATTTGCTGCTTTGTACAGGAAATAAATTCATTTTGTAGCATCTTAAAGCCTCTTAACCTATTCCTTTTTCCTCTAAACAGACAAATGAGCATCATTAAACATAATCCCATGTTCAAGTTGTTGCTGCAACAAGATGAATAAGAGGATACAAATGATAAATAAGTGGCACTCGAGTGGGAGGTCGACGAAATGCCAGAGCCAACCTGTCCAAGGCTCAATATCTATGGCAACGTGAGAGTCAAATGCCTGCCGAAGCTTGATGAATATCCTTGAGCATTTAACAGGCAATTGACTTACTGATGAGTGTTAATATCTCTTTAATCTGCCGCCCGTGCCTGCTTTGAGAAATGATTTTAAAGAGATGCCAGATAAATTGATAGATTCGTGTATTAAGCAGTTACCGCAGGATACGTGGTCCGTGTGCATAAAACTGTGTCGAGGTGAGCATATTTTAATGCCGACAACAAAACGGAGGAAAGAGGATAAATTATGGCAACCGGCTGCTGACAATGGAAGACAGTCGAGTGGGTAATTGAATCTAATTATTCGGAAGCACAGATAATGAGCACGTAAAACGCAAGGAATAACATGACCGGGATATGCCAGACAGTCATACAGTCGGCTATTAGGGCGTGGGTGTGGGCGTGTGTAGATGTGTGTGTGTGATTGTGTGTCTGTGTGTGCATGGGCATGTTTGTTTGTGCGCGCGGAAACGGAAACGGCAAGAGAAACGTTTAGCTATAAAGAAAATAAGCTAACATCAATTGAGTTAAGTAAAGGCAGGCACACGCAAACTGAAATGCTTGAAAGACAGCCAAGATTCGGTTTATGGTTTATTTTTATTTATGTATTTCATTTCTCAAGTGAACCAAATATCGGGCCATGTATTACCATTAACATTTACTACTTTTTCCAGAAGGGACTGGCTACAGCCGCTGCAGCATAGCCGGTAATGGGAGCCGTGTAGACTGGCGCAGCGGCATAAGTGGTCACAGGTGTCCTGTAGATGGGAGCCACGGCAGCATAGGTGGAATATCTGACGGGCGTTACGGCCGAGTAGGTGGCAACGGGCGCCACTGCGGCATAGCTGGCAACCGGTGCAGCCAATATGCCAGCCTGAGCGGTCGCAATGCACAGAGCCAAACAGATGAGGAATTTCATATTGATTTGATGTGGTTTTGTTTTTCTGCCGTTTGTTGACTTGTCGACTTGTCACTGACTGATGCTGTTTGGCAATCAACGCGACAGTTTTATAGCCACTGTCAGAGTTTAGCTGCACGGCCATATCGCCGTGGCCGAACCCGTTTGCGGCTTAAGTGGACCAAATCAACAGTCAATTTAGAACACAATGACAATTTTCAATTTCTGCACGGTAATGCCCAATCGATGCGGATGCCGTCAACTGTGGTGTCAATTGTGTTTGGCATATCAAATTGATTCTCAATATTCAGTTTTCGAAAACCATCCGGTACTATCTATTAATTAGCCAGCTTAAAGCCATGTGTGGTATAGTTCAAGAATATCATTAGTTTAATAAAAGCGGACGATTTGACCTCGAAGGTATGACAATAAACATAATTATAACAGATATTATGCTACTGGAACTTAAACCGTTGGAGATATAATATCTCTAGTTCTTACTTTTAACTTTTAATCTGATCTCGGCGTTTATTTTTTAGACGTAATAAAGAATTAATATTTTTGGTAAAGTTTTGTATATAATATAATATAAATTATATTTTCTAATATATATATTTTTTAAAAATTACGGAATATTTACAGACCGTACATATTCTTTTATAATCATACTGAGTAATGCAAAGGTCGTGCAATGTTACAAGTTTCTTGGATAGGCTGAATGTATATATCTATATGAACTGATTTACAAAGTCGAAGTACTTCTATCTAACTGGGTCATCCATTTCTAAAAAGTAGGGATTATTCAAAATATTTGTTTAATAGTTAACATGTAAGTTGAAAATTTGAGTTGAAGCCCAATTAATATATGCAATAGACATGCAGAGAGCATCGACTACGGCTGTCTCTAGAATACGTACGATAATTCTTTTACAATATCTGGTTATGCATAAAATCCAGTTACAAGTTTTCGTATGGATAGGGGTATTCATAAATTGAGGAACATAAACCAAATGGCATCAGACCAACTTAACGAGCCGCAAAAAAGCTGCTACATTTTGTACATTTCGTTCCAAGAGCAGCCCATGAACTGCATTGTGTGGGTTTGTGTATGTGTAGACTTACAAACACACACGCAGCACAGTGTGCGATATAAAATGAAGTCCCTGTCTGGTAGTCGTACATTTTTGCAATACAAATGTTTTGCATTATTAGGACACAGACGAGCAGCGGCTCTAGAACGGGCACGCGTCGTAGAGCTTGGTAGTTAAATATGTTCTACACGTAAGCTACATTAGTCAAACTGGTTTTGGCAGTGGAAATTTGCAGAGCATGCCAAATGAATCGAAAGGCGACAGACATACTGTCCAAAGCGGCAACTATTTAAGAGCTGTGGCCTAAAGAAAACTAAGTCTGTAAGCCATAAAAGAAACAAGTAAGAGTGCTTCATTTGGTAGTGCCGGGCTAGGTGATACCGTGCCAAGCTGCTGTTGCCAAAATTCGCTGCGCCTATGCCTCAGACATTCAATATGAATTTTGGTATCCTAACCGGTATTTACTTGTGCAAATTATATTTTTTTTTTATACCCAGTACCCAAGGATTTCAGAACATATAAGAGCTATAGACTTAAAATTTTAGATGTAGGTGCTCCTAGTGCCTGCGCAGAGCGAGTTTGTTTCCGATAATCGATAACTTACTCCGTTTCCAAGCAATCGATATCCATATCGTGTTATTGGCAATTTTGGTAAATAATAAGAGCTTGAGTCCCCAAACTTGACATATAGCTTCTAAAATAGAATATATATATGCATTTGATGTTGGAAGAAGAGGGTTCAGGGTATCCCCTAGTCGGGAGCTCCTGACTAGAACCTCTTACTTGTTTAATTTTCGGCCATACTATATATAAGAGTTGTAATGTATACTTATAGTATTCTATTTGTGCTTAAAAACTATGCCTCAGCATTTTTTTCGATAGTATAAAAATATATGAAGATATTAAAATAATTGAAAAAGCCGCCTTACGAGACTTTCTAGTATTTGAAATGGAAGCATTCACACCGAGAGACATACTGAATTGGCGCTAATATGCAGTATTTATGGGATCAAGAATGTTTTCTAGTGCCTTTTACATACATTTGCACAAAATCAACATACCTTTTTCATTCATTTTTAAATGGGTTCAGGGTAAAGAAACTCTAAGAAACATCATAAATACGCTAGACACACACAAATGCTACTATCTGTGAGCTTTACTATATATATGTGTGTGTTTGTGTGTATGTGTGGCTGGGTATTTGCCATAAATGCTTCATCTTCCGCTCATGCATATTCAAATCTCAGAAAACAAACTTCAACAGTTCACAAAAAAGCAACAGACAACAACGCAACAACAACGCAAAATCCAAATATAAATGTACTAACTCAAACACAAATACCCCGTCCGGCCAGAAGGTGGGATGGATACCAAGGGTGGCCTCATGCATTTTAAAATCCAACCATTAGAGGCACTGTGTTTTATTTGGTATGTAGAATATTATTTGAGCACGTTTTTGGCGCTTGACATTGCATTTAGCATTTTGCATGCATAACTGAAATGCCAGCCAGAACACAGACCGAAAGCCAGAAAACACTCAGAAATAAACCGCCAGCAGTTGGCTTAACTCTGTAGCCTCCGACCAGAGCTCTGCTTTGAGTGTAATTAAATGTTTTAAAGTTGTAATAAAATAAATCATTTGCAATTCGCTTTGTTACACAAACCTAACAAAAAGGAGGTTTTCCTTAAATTGGCTAACAACACATCATTTAACAGGCTGCCAGAAGTTCAGGCAGCAGGCAAATGGTAATTCAAGGTAAGATAAGGCACAATGGCTGAAAGTGAAATGTTTGTGGCTAGCACTGATTGCCATGGCCACAATCGCCATGTCCTATTTATTATATTTCAATTTAGGTTTATTTAATATCAATTTACGTAGACTGAGGAATTCAAGCCACTTTAAGTTCTGGTAAAAATTAAAGTGTTTAATGTTAAATCAGAATTAAATATCTGTCCGTCGTCTGTCAGTCGTAGGAAAAGTCGAAATTAAATTGTGTTTTGGTACAAAATGCGAAATAATATATTCAAGTAAAGCTTAAAATAAATAATAATATTTGATTCTTATAATTATATTTTAGGTTTTAGATAAAGAGGTTAAATTATTATCATATTTTTGGAATCATCAAGCTATCGTGGAAAACCTTTATACACTCAAAGTATATTTACAATCCTCTCCATTTTTCTTTTATATTACACCTTTTTTATTTGAGAAATAAATAATAATAATAAATTACACACAAGGAAGATAATACTTGAAACACATTAAATATAAATTTGAAACTCAATTAATACAATCTCCGGTCTTAAAAAAAAAAAAAACAAGCCAATATATAACAAAAATAAAAAATAATAATAATAACAATCCGAAATGCAGAAGCTCTTAATTTGTATGTTTAATAAATTTCTGAAATTCAGATATACTTGCCTAATTGAATTTGCATTGATTGCTGAATATATCTCGCATATTTAGTTAAATTTCAACAATTTTTTGCAATTCATTGGATTAATAACAAATCCCAATTGAAAATTCGTGCGCAAAAAAAGAAGTTGTAATCGACAAATGGCAATGAATAATTTTGCACATATCGGTGTTGATTTTTGGCAGAAATCCCAAAGCTTAATACTTTTTGTCTTTTTGTCTGGTGGGTAGCCATTGTACGGGGACCTGGAGCAAAAATGACAATAAAAGGTAATTTGGTAGTAACAACTTGGAGGCAAACACTTAACTAACTTTGTGAGTGTCTGCGTGCGTGTCCGTCCAGGTCCTTGTCCTCGATTTGAGCTACAGGGGGCAGTCCTCGAACTTTGCGCATAATCATATATGTGTGTATACTCATTCACATATATGAAAAGTAAAAAGCAATTTTCGTAACATTTGCATGCCTTCCACTAACACACATACACGCACAGACACAGACACACACAGGAAGCATCCAGAGAAAAGCAGGCAAGGACATGCGGCCTACCTTAGCACGGAGAGGCAAAAACTACGATAATGTGTGTGGGTGTAGGCGAGTGTTAGTGTGTGTGTATGTGTATGTGTGTGCTTGGGTAAGTTGAATGGAGTACGTGTTGTGCTGAAAATGCAATTTGCCTTCTGTGCGAAAAGTACGTAAAATTTATGCAAATTTTCCCTTACTGCCCCTGGCCCAAGAGTGTTGGTGATGGCGAGTCTGCAACAAGCGGAAACAGGAAATGCGCCATTGTGTGCGTACTTTCGCATGCATGCATGTGTGTGTGTGTAAGTGTAAGTGTATATGTATTTAGTGCGCGCTAAAATGAAAATGTAGTGAAATATGTGATAGAACGGCCAACGAAAAAATATGTAAGCACAAATATACTACATATACTCGACCTCAAATTTACCCTTCATCAATTCGGGCATGGCAAATATCTAGAAAGCATGACACGTAAGAAATTAAACTATTTCTTGAAATAGATGATCTTCAAATAACACATCAGCATTAGTTAGGACCTTCAGCTCTGTTCCCTGCTCTTCGATTTATCTAATTATCTTGGCTAGCTTAGCCAAGTCATCTACAGAGGACTGCTTTCAACAGATTAAACATGAATTCCCATATTATTGACAAATCAAAATATTTTGTTACTCTTAATGAACTATCAAATGTATACGCTTCTGTCCCAAGGCTGTCTTAAATAGACTCGGAATACTTTTATTTCTGTCAAACGTTGCACCAGCCGAAAGTCCCAGCTTTAGTTCGAGCAATGGTACTCATAAACTCGTACTTGTTTATGAAATTAAGTCCCTATACCCCGCCAGTGTATAAAGCAGTCGTGTACACCTTAGATTCATTTGACCGGCATAGGGTATATTAATATCCAATAAGCATGGGTGCGAATGCAAAAACTAACGGGACAACAAACGCAACAACAACGTCAACAACGGTAACAGCAACAGCAACAACAACAATAACAGCTTCAACAGCGATACCAACAACAAGGCGTAAATTCG